CTTCTGGGCGCGCGCCGCCGGCGGCATCACCGCAGCCCTGGGGCCGGGCCAGCGCTGGGGCTGCCTGCTCCGCGCCAGGCTCCACCGCAGTACTCTGCTCGGCGCCCATGGCTGGGGACGGCGGGCTTCGATCGTCGTCTTCGGAGGAGCGAGGAGGAGAGAGGAGGAGGAGGAGGAGGAGGAGGAGGAGGAGGAGGAGGAGGAGGGGCAGGAGGAGGGGCAGGAGGAGGAGGAACAGCAAGAGGAGGTTATCGGAGCTGTTCGGACCCAGGGTGGCCTCCATCGGCTGCGCCTCTTCGCGGACTTTCCACGCATGCCAAAATCGTCCCAAGCGTTAGCCTGAAACCCGAATTATACCCCGAAAAACATTGGGAGTTCCCAGACCTCCAGCGCATTGAATCGCTGTCTTAGGCCTCTGGGGGTCATCGCTGGGACCCAAGACCTTCAGAAAACGACTCAGAGTGAAAAGCTGGCCCGTTGAGAAGAGGTCTGGATTTCCAGGGGGCCCGCATTGAAAAAAAAAAAAACATACATCGGATCTGGGATCCAGGCGGAACATGGCCTCAAGAACGCGGGTCATGACCATAAGCCCATTCACCAAGGACCAGAGGCCCCGTGGAGATACTCTGAGGCGGAGAGCCATAACGCGAAGAAAATCCCCGATTGAATATTCGAAAACCCATGGATCATCCCTCCCTCCGCCGCCTCCTCCTCGTCATCCTCCTCTTTCTCCTCCTCCTCCTCCTCCTCCTCCTCCTCCTCCTCCTCCTCCTCCTCCTCCTCCCCGCATCCTCTCTTTCCTCGTCCTTCTCCTCTCCCTCAACCTTCTCAACCTCCGTGTCGTCGTCCTGCTCTTTCTCCTCCTCCTCCTCCTCCTCCTCTCCTCCTCCTACTCCTCCTCTTCTTCCTGGCCCGGTCCGCGGCGTGCCAGACAGAGAGTACCACAGACCCCACGGGCGCCGCCCTGCGTAGACAGCGGTGTCAGTAGGTGTGCTGATGTCTCGCTGTCCTCCTCCTCCTGCCCTCTCCAGGCCCAAATGTCAGCCCCCTGTGGTGCTCACGTGGGCTGTCGCTTTCCTCGGGGACGGCACCCGCCCGGGAGATGTGAGCCGTGACTCGTGCATTCGAGGAGGAGCGAACCGAACTGGACCTCCTCCTCCTCATCGTCCTCCTCATCCTCCTCTTCCCCCACTCTCCTAAGGAAGGAATGCTGAAAATCTCTAGACCTAAGCACTGCGCACAACAAGAGCGATCCGCGTAGGGGAAGGTAGGATCTCGTGGTCGGGCCTACCACCGGCCCAGGTGCGACATCCACGGCGAGGGAAAAGGAAAGAGTAAGTCAAAGCGAAAGCGGCATGGAAAGGGGAAGGGAAAGCGGAAGGGAAAGAAGGGAAGGGGGCGAGAAACAGAGACAAGGGAGGAGACAGAGGGGAGGCGAGAGGAAGGACGAGAGAAGAGGGACGAGACAGGAGGGAGGAGGAGGGAAGGGGTAGGGCCGCGAGGCACGAGAGAGGGAGGCAGGACAGGCGCCCCCCTCTGCGGACGCGTGCCGCTCCCATGGAGGCGACCCCCCGCTTCCCCAGGAAGTCGAAGCTGGAGGTCGAACATGTTCGGGGAGGAAGCACAGTCAGGGGAGGAGGGAGGAAACGGAGGGAGGCATCGGAGGGGGAGGGGGGGGGAGGAGTGGGGGGGGGGCAGCGACAGGAGGGAGGAGGGAGAGAGCAGCAGGAGGACGAGGGGGGGAGAAGGGGCATGAAAAGGGGGGTTGGGGGAAGGAGGAGGAGCTGGCGTCCGCGAGCTCTTTCGGGCGGCCTCATGGGGCTTCCAGTATTCCAAGTGGGTGGCCCCTCCAAGACGTATCGATGGACTGGTCTAGACTTCCGGCAGTGCTGACCCTTTCAGCAAGAGCATCCCGAGCATAGCCTCGACCAGGTCGGCGGCATGTGGGACCCCGCCAACGGCTCTCTTCAGGGCAGAACCTCTTGCAAAGCTCAGAGAGCTTCTGCCAGGTTCACCCGAATCCTGGTTCTTATAGGGACGAGTGGCGACGGGGCATCAGGAGGGCCAGGGCAGGATCGGTCAGGACCGAATCGGAAAGTGCGTCGGATCGGGCCGCATCGGCACGGAGCAGGAAAACGCATCGGCTGCACCAGGATTCACAACAGCGCCATGCAAGCATCGGGGCGCACCGAATCCGCCGACCCCTTGTGGGTCTCTAGGCGTGTGAGATAGTTCCCCCCCCATAAACCCCCCCCCAGGGACCCGAAACCGGAGATTTGACCCCCCCCCTCGCCGACTACGACCCCCCGCCGAACGCGCCAAGGGGGAGCAGAGGGCCCAAAAACGGGCCAAGAGCGCACCAAGGGGTCTCCGAGACGGTCCAAGAAGGCCTTGAGTAGCCAAACGAGCGGTCCAAGACGACCAAGATGACTCTAAGACAAGCAAAGAGACCTCCAAAACGGCCCAAGAGGCCTCCAAGATGCGCCCCAAGAGAGCCCCCAGACTCAAAAATGGTCCCATTCCCTTCGTAAAACGTACATGTTCAGCCTCCTCGCCTTTTCCGCTGTCCGATGCTCAAAGTCGGCCCAGGAGGCTCCCAAAACCGCCACAAGACGGCCCAAGAGGCCTCCAAGAGGACCCCGAGACGGCGCATGAGGGCCCCAAGACGGCCCAAGGGGCGCCCAATACGGCCCAAGAGGGCCCCAAGACGTCACAAGAGGGGATCCAAACAGGCTCCAAGAAGGCTTTAAATGCCCCCCAAAGCTCCAAGAGGTCGCCGAAGAGGCTACAAGTGGTTCCCAGGGGGCTCCCCAAGAGGCCCTTTCGAGGCGCCCCAGATGTCCAAAAGAGGCCCTGCGAGGCGCCCCAGAAATCCAAAAGAAGCCCCAAAAGGGCTCCCACGAGGCCTCCGAAGAGCCACTCGTTGTCGTCGTCGCCGTCGCCGTCTCCGTCTTTTTCTCTCCGTTTTCTACTCTCCGCCCTTCTCCTCCTCTTCCCCCTCCCTTTCCTATCCCTCCTTTTTCATCCTCTGCTCCTCATCCTCATCCTCATCCTCATCCTCCTCCTCTGTTTTCGCCTTCTTTGCGTTCCTCGTTCCATCGGCCTTCTCGGATGCTCCCTCTCGCTCGGACCCCGTTGCTCCTACTGCTACTGGCCATGGCACGTGTGCCCTACTGGTAACACGTGCACGCATTGCCTGTCAGTGTGCCCTCTTTCTCGTCACGCGCGACATTGCTCGAGTTCACGGAGAAAGCACACTTTGGAAATTTCCTCTGGCACGTGCCACTGCGCTGCTTGGTCTCCTTCTCCATCTCGTCCTCTGCCTCCTCTCCTTCGCCCGCTGCTGCTCCATCTCCGGGCCACCTCGTTGCCCCAGCCCGCTGTTTCTTCAAACGTCCCCTCGCGCCCCTCATCATCTGAACTCGCACTGTTTCGGCTTCTGGATTGGCTTGTGGGTATGCGGGAGGATGAAAGCGACCCCCAGGAATTCCCGGAAGCCCCCCCAGGGCATCCAGAGCATCCCTCGCGAGGCCCAGAAGTGCCACAAATGCAGAAAAGCCTAGGGGGACTGTGGGCCAAGGGTACCTTTCCTGGAAGAGAATACAACATGAACATACACTTTCGGCGGTCCTCCGCAGATTTCTTGGATCCGAGGAGGAGGAGGACGACGACGAGGAGGAGGAGGACAAGCGAGCGAGCGAGCGAGCGTCCATCCGGCTCTACTGCGGGTAGAGCCGCGCCCATTTGGGCGGGACGAGAAGAGCCGTAGCCCTTGTGAAAAAACGTGAATGATCTCATGTCGCGGTCACGAACTGGTCCTCCATACTCCGCCATTCTGTGAGATTCCTTGTCATCTGTGTCCAAGTTGTGTCATTGATGTCCCCGTGCCTTCTGTGAGTACGCTCCCTCGACAGGTTCTCGTCCACGAAATGCTTGCGAAGAAATGCCCTGATCTCGTCATCCCAGCCCTTATGTTGACCACCGTGGTTTCGGTGTACTTGTTTTTGTGATGTGTGGCTTGGGTGCCACTGTATGGCCCGTTGTGTCCATCTTGACGCTGGGTGTGCGGCCACTCGTGCTGCTAGCCTCCAATGTTGCCGGCGCTGCTCCGTTTCCCAAATTGTAATGTTATGCAGCTGCATGGGGTATTCTGCTCGGTGCGTCGAACGCCGGATGTATTCCACCCACGGCTCGTCACTTTCCGTGTGGCTGCTGGTGCCCGTGTCGCTTGGTGGTGGCTCTTCGGGCGGTGGTGGGTTGCTGTCTACGTCTGAACCGTCGGTGATGCTCGAATGGTCGGTCGCGGGGATGCTGGGCCTCGGCTGGGTAGTAGAAGACGCCCGTCTTGTCCTCCTTCGCGGTGTCTGTACGATCATGCGGAGCATTCTCCTTTGTGTCCTGCGGAGCTGTTACCGGAGAGGTTCTGTCAGCGTCCATGTTGCAGAAGCATAGAGCACCGTTGGCGTAACGGTGCCTTGGAAGAGGCGGAGCCGGTGCTTGAGTGGATAATGTTTGCTTGTTAGCTCTTGTCGGTTTGCTGCGAAGGCCGCCCATGCTGCCTTGATGCGGTGGTTGACCTCCGTTTGTGCTAGCTCATTGAAACTGATCATTTGGCCGAGGTATTTAATCGCCCCAGCGTAGGGTACAATCTCGATGTTCATGCCACAAACATCCACTTTTGGCTCTTTACTTCTCCCAGCCCGCCGCGTGAGATTTGACATGAGAGGCGGAGGCGGAGGCGGAGGCGCAGGAGGAAGAAACGGGTCGGAGAAGGAGGAGGCGGTGGAGGCGGGGGAGGAGGAGGAAGAGGAGGTGGAGGAGGAAGAGGAGGAGGCGGAGGAGGAGGAGGAGGCGAAGGAGATGGGGACGAGGAGGAGGAGAATGAGAGGGCGGCGGAGCCCACGGGACGCGTTCGTGCACCTATGAAACGATCGAGCCCCTTTCCATGAGGAAGTTGTCCATGTGCCCACGAGGCGCCCTTCGAAACAAGGGATCCTTCGAAACAAGGTGTCGGCGGATGTGGCGCAAGCCTGAAGAATCGCCGGCATATCAGCATCGGCTCGGATCGAAGTGGCCAGACTCGATATCGAGTCGGACCGATCGGATCGACATGGAGCCTGACAGGAGGGGCACGTGCGTGCGCACTGCACTACACGCGCGCGCTCTGGACGGGGCGGGCATCAGCGCACGTGGGCAGCACCTGCCGCGATATTTAGCGCCTCACGCCTTGAAGCGGCTGGAGGGTCCGCGCTGGAAGGGCCCAGGGGAAAATCGGTCAAGAGGGGGGAAACGAATCCGCTCAAAGTCGGTCCCAGGTCGCTCCCAGGGTCGGCACTAGCAAGTTTTTCGCGCCGCGTCTGGCCATGGCGACGAGGGGGCCCTATCTCCCCCTTCCTGCTGGCCGGAACCAGTGCTGGGCCACCTCAGCCCCTCAGCCGGCTCCAACCCGCTCGCATGCGTTCAAGCGTTCGCTCTATCTGATCAGGCCGGGCGATCCGCAGAAGCTGGCAGCCACAGCATGTCCGAGATGCCCTGCGGGGCAGTGTCCGAAGACGGGACAAGACGGTAGCGCGCGGCCTACGAAACGCTGAGCAACAAACGGATCGGCAGTCAGCAAGGAAAAATTTCGCAGGCTTGCGAGACCACCTCTCTGTAGACTCCGGAACATTCAGGGCTCGGGGGCCCTTCTCAAATGACCGGCAGCAGTAACCGTGTCAGGCCACCGAAGAGCCCCTCCAGATCCCAGGACCTCTCCCGATTCCGGGATTGGAGCTGGCGCATCTTCTGGCGGCAGGCCCAGGGGGAAGGCAGAGAGAGCGGGTCTGGCCAGAAGGCTCAGAAGGCCTTCCGAGAAGCTTTCAAGCCTTCTCCGAAACCACATGGAGTATCTCAGAAGGCCGGAGGGCTTCTGGGAAACCCCACCGCTTTCAGAGAACGCCTACCCCCCTCTCACTTCCCCCCTGGGCGCGCGCCGAATCTTTCATTACGTCAAAATGCGAGAGATGCCATAGGAATCGCTCAGGCTGCGGGTTGCCACGATCACGACCCCTTCGGAGACGGGGACTTTCTGGCGAAGATGCAGCGCACTCCCCTTGCTTGGGAAACTGAAACACAAAGGACCTGAAGGGATGGAGTACCAGCTTCAGCAACCCCCTGACGGGTCCTCCACTGACGGATGCGGGCCGTGCTGCAATGCCCAAAAAATGCCCCAGAGTGGCAACTCTGAGCGGGTTTCCAAAGTTCGGCAGCAGGCGAGGGGGGAAGTGAGAAGTGACGGGAAGTCACCCAGCCTTCTGAGAAGTTTTCTAAGCCTTCCCCGAAGACACCGAAAATCCGCCGGCCCCCTTGTGGGGCCACCAGGCTGTAGGACCAAGGTTTGCTGTTCCCTGCACCAGTTCCAGTTTCCAGTTTCCCCTGTTGCAGTACTGCTTCTTGCTGCTTACAGTTCCTTGTTGATGGACTGCTCGAGGGGGGGGAGGCCGAGAAGGAACCTTGTTACCACGCCCGAATCGCGTTGTCTGAAATTCCTGGGGGTGGGAGGGGGACACGTAAAAATACATAAAATTCGCGCCCCCGAGGCCATAAACCCTTGTAAATTATACAATATTCGCGTCCCCAGGGCCACAAACCCTCGTCACTTACTTTCTACTCGCGTCCCCGAATCCATAAACCCTTACAAAATACACCATATTCGTGCCCCCGAAACAATTAACCTTATAAATTACGCAATAATTGCGTCCCCGAGGCCACAAACGCTCGCAAATCACGCGATATTCGCGTCCCCGAAGCCATCAACCCTCGTAAATTCCGCAATACTCGCGTCTCCGAGGCCATAAACCTTAGTAAATAACGCAAGATTTGCGACCTCGAAACCATAAGCCCTTGTAAATTACACAATGATCGCGCGTCCGAAGCCATACACCCCTGCAAATTATGCAGATTCGCATCTCCGAAGCCATAAACCTGCGTAAACTACGCTGCATCGGCGAGCCCGAAGCCATAAACCCTCGCAAATTACGCGCTATTCGCGTATCCGAAGCCATAAACCCTCGATAAACAACACCGAGTTCAACAAGATCATCAGAATCTCAATTTGTCTTGCCGATTACTCATCGTCTTCGCGTGAAGTCCCGACGCTGCTTCACGGCGGCGCCAAGGCCTCATGATTTCGCTCTTGCAGCGCCCATTATCCGAGAGGGGGGGCCGGCGGCAGGGGCCGAAGCCCTTACGGAATTTCTCAGAAGGCCAGAGGGCTTCCGAGAAGCCCCACCGCCTTCTGAGAAGGCCTTCTCCTTCTCACTTTCCCCCCTCGCTCGCCGCCAAAAAGTATCCATTACTGAGCACCCATTGCGGTGCCGCTGACGGCTTGCATCAGACGGAATCCCAGGCACACAGTGAAGAGAGAGAGAGAGGGGCGGGGAGCGCAGGCTCGAGAGGAGGGCTGGAGGGCAGAACGCCGAAAAGAGCGTCCTCTTGAGCTGTGCCCACACAAGCTCGCGA